TTTATTGTTTTTGAGAGCTAGAAAGCTATTTCTGAGTTCTGGTTCTGATGAGCTGGGATCCTATAAAACAGGCTGTAAAAATAGTTTGGATGGTTTAATTAAATAGGAAAGTTTACATTACTCTAGATTAAGTTCTACCATTGGTTCTACCAGTTCTATATTGACAAAGATGTCAATGACGTCTTGGGTAATTCAACTTAGGTCGTTAGAATTCTCTCAATTGACAGGATTCTGGACTCGTGCTGGAGGAGATTCGTAACCTCTTTCTTTTAGAAGAAGATTCCTGACCAGGTGATTGAATTTTTCTCCATGGCTCTGCCGATTTATTAAGTAGCCTGCTTTCAATTTAATTTTGAAATTAAGTTTCGTTTTTTCTTTCTTACGCTGTGCAACCGTTCTGGCTTTATGCCGATTTAACATAATTGAAGTTAAAATTGACTGGTACGGCTACGATTTAACTTTTCACTAGAAGGCCACCCAACAACAAGGGTAAGATTTCTCAGTTTTTTTAGTTTCTTTATGCTCCCTTCCTAAAACCATCCTGACTCAGAAAATGTAACTATTAACATTATTTGTCCTAGCTTACTCCTTGTATGGTTTGTATCAGAACTGCTCACATGTGCTCATAACTGCTTACATGTCCCTATAACTGATTACACGTGTCTCTATTGGCTTTCATCTATCTCTATCTGCCTCTATCTGTTCTACCTACTTCTACTGGCTTATAACTGCTTCCATCTGCAAACCCAGTCCTGGTTTCGAGGCCTAGCTATCCCACCCCCATTAGTGGCAAATTACAGGATAGACTTCCCCTATACTAGACCATCCTACGTTCTATCTTCTGGAAGGTAATGTTCGAGGTACTGTTATAAGTTTTGGCAGTTTAAAGGAACAATTGTTGGGTAAGCCCCTTTTTATTATCAACAGTGGATTCTGATTCCTGAGCAGCATAGCTTAATTCCTGGATGAATAGAGGTATATTCAGTTTATAGGTTAGTTTCATTCATTATTAATCCGTACCTTTTATATTGAGCTCTATGACTGATTAATGAGGACTATAATAACTAGAGTATAACTTACGTATTAGGTAAAGCTTTGCACTTCAAAACCTTTGATAGTATTTGGGTTTTTGATGCAAATTTGCATTATTTAATTTAATAATAATAGCTTGACTTGGGTAAACAGATGGCCACTTTAAGAATCAGCTGATGAATACTTATTAATTTAGAAATGAATGTAAGACACTTAGGACACATTTTATATTGCATTGTAATAATTATAATACTTAAATAAAGAACCCTCCTATTAGTGTTTATTTTGGAGAACTTTCATTTTATTGAATTTCTTAACCCAATTTTCAGAGTGTCAACATCAGGGCTTCTTATTTCTAGTTAGGTTCGGCTATGAGACTGTTTTTGCTGTTTCCTGTTTTGTAATTAAGAGCGGATACTTTCTTTCTGAAGGGCTAAAACAGGTGGCGTCCTATATTATGTATTATCTACGATCACTCTACTGAAAATTTAGCTGGCTGCCCTATAAGGAAGTACTCCAGTATAGTAATATTTCGTTGGCCACCTTCTGGGTTATAGTAGTTCTGGTCCTGGACTGACAATAGTCTGGGCAAATGAGGATGAAAATATATGTCACAAGCTTTAATTAAATATTGTGCTAAATGCTTGTGACAAATAATTTTAATAAGAGTTTTCTTATGACAGCATATCATAATTGTAAATATCGAATTTTGGCACAAAATATAACTAGTTGACAATTTGAGCACTACAAGAAAAACTGAGGAGCTCTTCAACTTCTAAAACGAACATATAACAAGAAAAATTCACAATTCTCAAGCTCATCATCATCACATAGTTTTGTCAGACATGTTGTGAACTCATAATATACTAAGTCAGAACTGGAGGATTGCCCACACGCGGGTTGTCAACTATTTTGAAAACCGCATACCATCATCTTTAGCGATTATTTCTCAATTTGGCGCTCTTGTGACACTAACATCTAACAATTGTCTTGTCGTATCCACCCAGCGTGTATAAGAGAACGGCCTCAACGACGTCCTTTCGAGACATGACCCTGGACAACAAGTTCTTCCATATTAATAATTATATGGATATGGCCGAAGAACGTCAGAATATGCGTTGCAACAATGGAGGATAGCCTTTCTAACAGTCCAAGTCTCAGAGCCATACAGAAATATTGAAAGGAGAAGAGACTGGACGAGCGACATTTTGGTGGCTTCTGTGATATGATTGTCACGCCATATTTTAGTAAGTCTTGTCATGGCTGACAGTGTTTGTTGAATGCGCCTACTGATTTGAACCTTGCAGCCACATGAATTGTCGGTGAAAGAACCGAGGTATACAAAACACTGAACTACCTGACAACGGGTCCTAATATAGTTGATACTGAGACCACATGCTGCACTCTGTTGTTATATGGTGTTAAGTAGGAAGAAAAATTCACCCTGAAAAGAAGCAATAAGAGTAGTATGTTGGCAAATCCTAAATTAGATATCTTGATTCCACCAAGAGTTACACCACCGTGTCAACCATCCAGTACCTGTTTCATCACAAATTCCGAATAGATGTTAAACAACATCGGCGATAACACAATATCCTGACGAATTCCCTTTCTTGTTGTAGTGTGGTCAGACATGTTACCGTCAATTCTTACTCGAGCTGTGTTAGACTCATAGAGGTGTTATGAGAAGTATCAAGTAATAATGAAGATTGGAAAGTAATGCTCTCTGGCCTTGTCAATAATCTGCTTTAAGCTCAAGATCTGTTCGCACGTACCACGTCTCTTTACGAAACCTGCCTTCTCTGGAGATATTTGCCAGTTCGTTCACAAAACCCTCCAAACGAGACTGCAGAATATACAGCATAACCTTGCTTGAATGAGAGATAAATGAGAGTAAACGATAATTGTCTGAGTTTACCGGAGATCCCTTTTTATGAAATGGAGCAAAGATTGAAGTGCTCCATTTGTCTGCCCAGACACCGGAGGATCAAACTTTCTGACAAATACGATATAAAAAATGTAAACCGTCATCATCCAAGCACTTCAGAGTTTCTGCAGAAAAAGAATCAATGCCTGTCGCTTTACCGGCTTTTAGTTTCCTAATGGCACGTTCCACTTCCAAAAAAAAAAATATCTGGCTCACGTTCCTAATTGAACAAATAGGCTTGAATGGTAACATCGGGATAATGGTTCTCACAATATGTACCCCACACCTCGATGTCTTCGTCCAAACTAGTGATGAGAAATTCATCGTTCAGCGTTCTTAACACCAAGTTTTGGTTTAAAGTCCCGACAGAGACATTTTATCTTTAGGAAAATCTCTCCTTGATGGCATGTTTGAGCGTATGGGCCTGTATCCCCCTGCATAATTCCTGAAGAGAGGAATTTTTACCTCGATTGCAGAGTCTTTGGATTTCACGTGTCAATTATCTATACCGATTGTGGTTTGCATCAGAATCCAGATTTGAGATCTCAAGTTTGCAAGGAGCTGAAGTTGAATTGGAAAATTGTGAAAATCTTATTACTGGCTCTACTACCTACATCTTCTCCAATTTTTGTAATTCATCAGAAAGCGTCAGTTGTAGTTGAGAAAGCGTTAAATGTAATTGAAAATAGTTAAATGTTACTCAGAACTCGTAATTGTAGTGTTGAAACAGTCAGATGTAGGTATTTCAGAAACCGTCAAATGTAATTGTGAATAACTGGCTGTTATTCAGAATGTGGTAATTGTAATTGAAAATAGTCGAGTGTAATTGAGAAGGCGTCAAATGTAGTTGAGAAAACGTTGAATGTAATTGAGGGAGCATCAAATTAAATTCAAAATAAGTCAAATTGAAATCTCTCAATCATTTTATAGAAAGTATAGCTATTTGCTTGAAATTTTTGTCGGCTTGACAATACTCAACATGTTTGCCTTCAACGCACATACTAAAAAGCACGTGGTTTAGATTTCTTAGTTATTTTCTACAGTTTCGAATTTTGCATGACCTTAATTGTATTTGATGCATCCTGAATCTCATTTGTTGCGTTCTAAAATACAATTAACGGATTTCCAATTACATTTAATAATGTTTTCTCAATTAGAATTAACGCATTCTCAATTACATTTGACGCTTTCTCAATTACATTTGAGTATTCTCAATTACAACTAACACATTCTGAATAACTATTCTCAATAACATTTGACAGTTTCTGAAATACATCAGCTGTCTGTTTTCTAATTACAATTAGGAAAAGTGTAGAGCTGAAGCTTGAACTGGAAAGACATAAAAACTCTATTCTTGGCTCTCCAAATGCTAAAAATTAGACAAGAGATGTGTGAATTAGGAGACAAAATTGAGTCAGAACGGATCAAACAGCTCTTGTTTGACCTTCACGGAGCTGAGATTGTATTGGAAAATTATGAAAATCTCATTTTTGGCTCCACTGGAGCTGAAATTTGAATTAGAATAACATGGAAATTCTATTTCGGGAGTTCCAAAACCTTAACAATCTGTACAAAAAAAAAAAGATTTTCCTTAATTAGGTATGTAGGTTAATCCGGAGTTGACCCTGTTTCTCAATTTTACTCCTGCTATCGGCTGAAACCTTCACAATTATTGTTTGTGTTTCCGCATCGAAAAGTTTAAATGTAAATATTTCGAATAATTAAAACTTTTGACTGTGTTTGTTTCAAAACTGAATCGGATTTGAGGCACGCTTATTACAGTTTTGTAAAAAGAAAAAATAAAAAAAAACTAGTAGCTAGTAAGCGTGGGTTCTGGTACATTTTGAGACATATGGAACTATATTTTTTTTTCTCCAAAAAATCGGTTTAAATTCTATTTTTTTATTAGAAATAATTCCTCAAGTCAAAAATTTAGTAACAAGTCTACGTAAAAACATATGAAAGCATTGACAAATTTACATTGTATTGCCAACAACAGATTTTACTTTCACTTTACTGAGGTTTACATCATGTCGCTTACCTTTATTTTGAAATCGAGGCCTTCTGGATTAACTACGATAACATCCAACTCTGGCTGTAAACTTTAGAAGAGACACATTTCTGGAACAAAATAAGAGAAATTATAATTCAGCGGTATCATAGATTCATAGGATTATTGTTTAAATAAATCACTACAATTAAATAAATGTTAAAGGATATTTATTAGTTTTAATTATTATTAATGTCACAACTTTATAATTGGCACAAGAAACTTGCGTTTCTGAACTTTGGAACCGAGTTTAATAAGCCAAGTTTGTTCAGTTCAATAAAAAACATATTTTCCAAAAGTAAGGAATCATCTCTTATCTAAGCTACACAAATTCAATGTTTCACTTGAAACTTTTAGCGTTGATTATCAATAATTTTGTTATATTATCATCCTGTCCACAGAACATCTTGTCAAGGAAGTGACCGATTAATTTGAAATTAACATAACTTTGGTTATTTTCTAAGAAAGTATAAGTCATCTAACTCAAACTATCAATTGTCAATCACTACTGACATATATCTCCCCAGGTGTAGAAGTATATGTTCCATTCTCAAAGTAAAATGGAAAATGTGACTTTTCTGACCATGAATATTCCATTGTATTCTTTAGAATCAGCCTTTTTTTCGTTGACTTATTGTCGATTATGGTATGGTAAAATAGTTTAAATGGACTGAGGTCCAGAAATCTTGGTGGCACTTTGATTATACCTTATCTGCCTATCCAGGTAAAATGCAAGCATTTTCTCTAACATCTAAAACCTGGAGAATATAGCTGCTAATATAGAAGGTAATAATCCTAGGTAGGTAGCGCTTTTCTTCAAGCTTGTTATTTTAAATTTATTTGTTACTATCCATCAGATGTGGCAGAAACTTTTTGCTGAACCTTATCATTATATATACCTGAATGGTTTCAATATTTAATTAATTCTCAGTTTCTCGCTAACATTTCCAGATGACTGTTCAGTTCCCGTATTTACCTTCAACTTAGATTTCAATCGAATGCTTTTAATTAAAACTTGTATTTAATTAAGCCCGTCGCCAACAATTTAATTGATATAAAAAATAGATTGTGATCTTGTAAAGGAAATTAATGAAGTTCAAGATTTTCATTCAAAAATGTATTTAATCAGAAACACTCACCATCTGTTCAATAATTTATTATTTTTCAAAACACCTTCGCTATGTTTTTTCTTCAACGGTAGGTACTTCAAAAGATTGCCGAAAAATAAATAATATTTTCACTGCACCAATTTAAAAAACAAAATTAAAGTATTTTGAAATTTGTTGCAATTTACACCCACGTCAAGCTCCTTAAGCTCTTAGATTTAATTTAGGTGGAAACTTTATCTGGTAATTTTGGAACACAGAGAGCAAAACGGGAACTTTAACGCGAACTTGTCATCTACAATCGTCTCATTACAAGTTGCATCTAGTTTTCCCAACTGCCACGTGTACGATTTTCTCTTGGAGAATAAATTACAGTTAAATAAAGCATCTTAAAGCTGTTATTCGGACATTTAAATTGTGTGTTTGGAATAAATAAGAACATTATATTGAAAGTCTATTTCAAGTAAAAAAAACAAATAGGTTCTACAGAAGAAACTCAGAATTCTCTTTTCCATTTCCAGACTATAAGGATGGCTAGAAAATTGAATGGGATTTTTTAGATTTGGATTTCGACATACAAAATACTTTTTTCAAAAGAGCACACAGAATCACTTTGATAGATTATTATTTCATATAAGAGATAAAATGAAAGTAGGTATCTAATGTAATTATAAATCTAAAACCATTAGTTACATATTACTTCTTTGATCTTATTACATAAGAGGCCAATTTTCTAATTGCTTTTTGGAAATTGCTATAAAGCCCTTTCGAAATATGGATGTTTATGTATATTATTGTAGGAAATTTACCTAATTTTACCTCGGTTATGATCAAAGATGGATGAATGTAGAGGCTTGTCAAATTTATAATAATAATAAATGGCTTTATTGTAATAATTCATCAATTCACAAGTTAGTAAATGTTTCAATGAAACAATCACAATTTATTTACGCAAACCTAAAAAATCAAATAAATTTAGATTACAAAGATTGACATTTTGGAATTGTGTCACTGTGAATTTTGCGCCGGCTTTCAGGGCCGTAAACAAGCCGATATATTTTTCCAATAGTCACTACCTACATTTTCCATTGCTTTACTTATGAACAGCTATATCCTATCGAAACTGATATACTTGAGTGATTGAATTTCATATTAAATAACGGAAAATAATTGAAATTTCATGGAAAGAAAATTTTGAATAATAAATCAAAGAATAACAACATTTGAGAAAAATTTGAATTTTTGATGAAAAACAAATTGATACCCCAAAATTCGTGGATTTTGTAAATGTTTATCTCCCTGAGGCAATTTCTTTTCTTTTTTTTTTTCGAACAAAATAACAAAAGAATTCAAAATTTCTACATTATAGCTTTAGGGGACTTATTATTATTCATGTAGCCAATATATAAATTATTGGTTGCAAAAATTGTATATATCGAAAGAAAAATATTTAAATTTAAACTTGTACTATTTAGTTTAGAAAAATGTACATGTCTGAATTAAATTGCAATATAAAATTAACAGCTCAATATATTTTTACGTTTGGCACTTCACTTATTTATAGCCGCCAATGTAAATTTACAAGTGAAAGATTAATTGCATATCATCAATTTACGAGTGTCTGGATGCAAGTTATAAACTGGCTTGCAGACTAAGTAAAAGTTATATCATTTCCAGAAAATTGTTCAAATATCGGAAAAAATTTAATTTAGCTATCAAATAACTTCAACATATACCTACCAAATAAGCCTTCATTTCTTTTCAAATTATACACCACTTATCAAAAAATTTCTTGAGAAACTTCCTATATTGAAAAAGGCAAACCGGAAACTAATTTACTTTTAACAATACTGGATATATTTATATTGAAACGTTTCTTCTAAACATGCTCTTTTTTAGAAAATCTATGACAAACCATCTTTCCAGAGATAACAACTTTCTCTGTCATCTTCCCTTCAAAGTAGACCACTACCTTGATAAGGCCTAGACTCGAGGGCTTTTTCCGCTTCACTGCTCTCTCCCTAGGACATTTCGTCCCGAAATGCTTCCATGTCGATACCTGCAAGTTTGCACCGAGACCTTTTATAGAAAAAGCAATCCACTGGTTTCTGGTTCTTTAGACGGAAACTGAAACAGCAAGCTAAGATCTCGATGCCGCTAAACCTGAAGATGACCTCAAACATACTTCGTACAATTCTCCAATCCATAATTGGTCGCGTCCGCAGGCTATTTTTTGAATCGGCAATTACATAAGATCCTGCGATAACATCATATCTCTAAGCTGTTCAAGGGGCTCCCAAGCATCATGGTAGGTCGCTTGTTGATCGAAATGCTTTTCCGTCACTATATGAAACAGATTCCATTCTCTATCAATACTTTGGAGCACCTCTCCAACTTCGAGTTCTTGTTTTCCCAGTTCATCCAATCGGCCAAACTTGTTTCCGAAAGCAGCAGAAAGTCCCTTTTCCATGCTAAGATCTTTGGACACACAGTGAGCTAGTGAATATCTGGCCGGCGTTCTGAACAAATCACACTGCTCTTCCCTGACTACGCCATGTTGGACTCTCTGGCCGTTGAAGAATAATGATATAAAGGCTTCAAAAGTGTCATTGCCTGGTGGACTGATAGAGCGAATCGCAGCTTTCTGGTCGGCGTGGTTCCCAGCGTAAGGCGCCAAGCGATTAAAATGCACTACTTTCTACTTTAGGCTTTGCGCGGAGTGACTTCCTGATTCTGCAGATAATGTCATTTATTCTTTCCACAATCTCATAGGGGCCTTCCCAAGAACTTTGTAGTTTCGGGGATAAGCCACGTCGTCGTTGAGGATTGTATAGCCAGACTGAATTGCCAGGTTGAAATCATCCTTCCTCGACTTTAACATCGTACGACTGTTTCATTCTGCCACTGGCGTTTTGAATATTCACGCGCATCCTCTGATGTATGTCATCCATTTTTCTGCGCAATTTGCTGACATGGTCTTTGCCTGCGATTTCTTCACCAGGTGGACACTCGAACATCAAATCGCAAGGCATGCGCAGCTCTCGATTCATGATTACGCTGACTGGAATCTGACCAGTCGATTCATGAACAGAAGACCGATATGCCATGAGAAACAGATGAAGACATTGATCCCAATCTGTGTGATGGTCAAAGACGACCTTGGCCAGATGACGATTGATAGTCCTGTTCATCCGTTCAACCATACCATCGGACTGCGGGTGTAATGCAGTGGTTCTCGTTTCTCGAATTTTCGGGATAGCACATACTTTCTGGATTAACGTCGACTCGAAGTTCCTGCCCTGATCCGAGTGTAGCTCTTATGGGACGCCAAAACGGCATCTCCATTCTCTGACCAATGCGTCAGCGATAGTAGTAGCCTCTTGGTTGGGCAAGACGAACGCTTCGGTCCACTTACTAAAGCAGTCCATTACTACAACTATAGACATACAACAATGTATTTATTTCCATCGTCAGATTCCGGGAAGGACCCTGCAACATTGATGGCGATCCTTTCAAATGGACAGCCCACATTGTATTGACGCATGGGTGCTTTTGGGTGTTCCTGCGGCCCATTACTGGCTGCACAAGATGCGCATTTCTTACATCAATCTTTGACATCTGCTTGGCAATTCACCCAATAGAAAAGCTCTCTCAGCCTCCCAACAGTTCTTGTGACTCCAAAGTTTCCTCCCGTAATGCCATCATGGATTTCTGGCATTACTTCCGACTGTCTGCTCCTGGGTATTACGATCTGACTCCTATCTTCTGTTCCATATGGAGCCTTCACGATCCTTTTCAGGAGCTCGTCATCGGTCAGTACCAAAAAATACCACTGAGACGTAGGACACCGGAGAATGACGCGCTATTTCCTGCCATGCTGGTCGTCGGCCTTCATTTTTCCATTTGATGATCAAGCTAAGATCTGGGCCATTCTCTTGTTCTTCCTGTAATGCATTTGATTACCAAGCATCATTAACCACCGTTGTCCTGTGGACCGTGGCTTCTTTCTCCTCAGCTCTGTGATAGTGTTGGCAGGGCAGGGTCTTCTTGACAAAGCGTCCGCGTTATTATGTGTTTTACCGGCACGATGTTCTGTATCATAGACAAACTCTTGCAGTCTTTCAATCCATCGGGGTTACCTGTCCCTCAGGGTTCTCGAATTGCAGGAGCCATTTCAAAGCAGCATAGTCAGTCCTTAGCAAAAACTTTCTTCTGTAAAGGTACTTATAAAAATGTTCTACTCCTTTGATTACTGCTAGGAGTTCTTTTCTTGTAACACAGTAGTTACGTTCTGATTTTGATAAAGTTTTACTGAAGTAAGCTATGACCTTCTTCTCTTCCTGTTGGATCTGCATTCACTATCGCAACTGGATTATGGCAGTTCACCGTGATGCCATTTGGTTTGTGTAATGGTCCTGCAACATTTGAGAGGCTCATGGAGACTGTTTTGAAGGGGTTATCCTGGACAACGTGCCTAATGTACCTTGACGAGATCATTGTGGTCGGAAGATCGTTCGAGGACCACTTAAAGAACTCGAAGGACGTCCTTCAGACACTAGGCAGTTACGGTTTGAAGCTCACCCCGAAAACATGTCACCTTTTTCAAGAAAAAGTTCGGTACCTATACTTTATTTTTTTCCAAGATAGATTTTGACATTGTCAACTTTGAAACATAAACAATGCCGCTAATGCCACTTATTGGCCGCTATTTTAAAACTGATGTCAACCTGCAGAAACACCTCATTTTGCGACCAATCAGGGTCAAGCGTTATTGTTTATGTTTCAAAGTTTTCAATGTCAAAATCTATCTTGGAAAAAATAAATTATAGGTCATGTAGTCTCTTGTCAAGGAGTAGCCGTGGATAATCAGAAGGTGAAGGCAATTCAAGAGTGGCCGATTCCTGAAGACCAACGAGAACTTCGAAGTTTCCTTGGCCTATGTACCTACTACCGGTGGTACGTACAAGGAATTGCCAGTGTTGTCAAACCACTTACTAGGCTCAGGGGAAGGGCAAAATCGTTTTCAATGGGACCAAGACTGCCAGGATTCTTTTCAGAAGTTGAAGCAGGCTTTAACTAGAGCACCAGTTAGGCACTAGCTGACATCATACACATAACCTCACTTCCGTTGGAGGGACAAAAAAAACGTTTGGAAGGTTTATTTTCTTCTATTTAACACACAGGAGCTAGCTTGTCACCAATGACATAACATGATTTCCGACAGGGGGACAAACATGTCATTGAGGTTATGTGTGTGACGTCAGCTAGCACCTAATTCCGGTATACCCGCTTTCAGAGGGAAAATTAATTTTTGATACCGACGCCAGCAATGTGGGTCTAGGCGCTGTCTTATCTCAGATCCAACAGGGAGAGGAGAAGGTCATAGCTGACTTCAGTAAAACTTTATCAAAATCAGAAAGTAACTACTGTGTTACAAGAAGAGAACTCCTAGCAGTAATCAAAGGAGTAGAACACCTTCACGGAATAGTTATTTCCCTAACAAGTGCGGAAATTATCATTTTTTCGCACGCGTTAGTCGCGAAGCGGAGTTCGGATAGCAATCGAGTGTGGAAAAATTACTTTCCGCAAGTGTTGGGAATAAAATTTTTCCTACGAGCAGACAAAAAGCACAAAAATAAAAAGAAATATGAATCTGTATTGAGCAATTACCAACATTTTTTATTCATTATTGAGAATTTCATACATCTGATCTGTCAAAACTGACATTACAAAAATAAACTGGCATATTTTGATTGTTGTGACTCGCACAGTAATTAGTGTTTTGGTATTTTTTGACAAAAAATTTAAATTTTTGATTCATGAAATTCTCTTATAAAATACAACTTGTGCACTCGTGCTCTATTTCAACTAAAAATGACAAATTTCCCAAAAATTATCGATAATTTCCATGGTATTGACCATCAGAGTTCTACCCAAAGCTTCTTCTATTAGTGGTTCCTTCTAAGATAGAATCTGCAACATTATTTGTTTAATTTTTATGGATAACGACGAAATTTGTTCATTTACTTTTGCTAATTTAACAATCTGATAAAAATTATACATTCACAATCCACCATTGTTTGCATGTCGTGGGTATTTGTTCATTCACGACGCGAAGACGTGCAGAAAAAATTTTCCACACTAGTGCGGAAAAATTACTCTTTCCACATGCCAATGCGTTCGGAAGGAGAGCTTTTTCCACACGCTCGTAAAAGTTTTTTCCTACGAGCGTGCGCAAAGTAGTACTTTTCCGCACGCATTTCCGGGCTCAAAGTTACACTTTTCCGCACTCAGTGCGGATACAGGCCTTATCCGCACTGAGTGCCGAAAAGTAATTATAATTGTCAAGCAACAATAAGTGCACCTGTCGACTTTGACACATGATGACAAATTTTTCCTCTATTTCTATATCAGCCAACATCTATACAAACACCAATTATAAATTAACTTTGACCCATCAGATTTGTTCTCTATTTATATGCAAAAATCTATAAACTTTCTCATCAAATTTAAACGCTTTAAGATGAACAGCTCTGACGAGGATTTTCTGTTATTTGTTTCTGTTATGTAATTTTTTGATAAATGCATAGGTTCCTTTCAAGTTAATTAAAAATAATTAAACAAATTATCGTTTTTTTTTTTTTTAATTTTTGTTATTACCTACCTGATATGAAGCTCGTAGGAAAAATGTTGTTCCTAACACGTGCGCAAAGTGTCTTTTCCGCACGCAAACACGTATCCGAACTCCGCTTCGCGTCGTTCGTATAACTGTGTTTGCGTGCGGAAAAGTAACACTTTGCGCACTTGTTAGGAAAATAACTATTTTTGACCTTCCATGAGTGGTTTGGGAACACTGGCAAATCCTTGTACGTACCGCCGGTAGTAGGTACATAGGCCAAGGAAACTTCGAAGTTCTCGTTGGTCTTTAGGAATCGGCCACTCTTGAACTGCCTTCACCTTCTGATTATCCACGGCTACTCCTTGAACAGAGACTACATGACCTAGGTACCGAACTTCTTCTTGAAAAAGGTGACATTTCTTCGGGCTGAGCTTCAAACCGTAACTACCTAGTCTCTGAAGCACTTCCTTCAAGTTCTTTAAGTGGTCCTCAAACGATCCTCCGAGCACAATGATGTCATCAAGGTACACTAGGCACGTTGACCAGGATAAGCCCTTCGAAACAGTCTCCATAAGCCTCTCAAATGTGGCAGGAGCATTACACAAGCCAAATGGCATCACGGTGAACTACCATAATCCTATTTCCGATAGTGAATGCAGTATTTTCCTTATCCTCTGAAGCCATTTCGACCTGCCAATAGCCGCTTTTCAAATCTAAAGTCGAGAAAATCTTTGATTCAGCCAATGTATCCAGCGTGTCATCAATACGAGGAACTGGGTGACTATCTTTCTTTGTCACGTTGTTCAGTTGATGATAATCCACACAAAATCGTGTTGAGCCGTCCTTTTTTT